ATGGAAATAACTCTCTTTTTGAAAAAAAAATAAAAAATTCATTGATGACTACCAAGACCGATTCATCTTATATAACTTTTGTTATTACGCGGTACTTACTAAATATATTTTATAATATCTATGTTGTATATTGTTTTGTAAAATAAGTATGAATGTATATAGTTTTTAAAATTCAAATGATTATGATTATTCTTAACATTTTGTATTATACCCAGTTAAAATTTGATATCCCGCGCAACGCGCGGGCGAGTAAATCTAGTCAAAATAATTGCATCCGCCATTCCTTGTACCCAATAATTAATACCACTAAATATCATCCCCTACCTATAATTTTGGTACCTTTTTTATTAATGAAAAGAATCGAAAAAACAAAAAAATAGCCAGAGTGGAACATAAATAAAAGTTTCGAAAAACCACATTTGTTGATCTACCCTTTAATTAAAGTATCCCTACAATTCTTCCCCAATTAAAGGCTTCATATCTTAATTTTTCAAAACCGAATTTGGTTCAGATCCAATTCGATTTATTCGGTATACCGAGAGGTTAATTCGGTTGATTTTGGTTCTTATGGCCCACATTTTACTTCAACGCAGCGTTTTGGTCATTCACACGGTGAGGATATTACTATCCAGAATAAGGATATCTATGATCCGAACGCCAAACACAGAGAATAACTGATGAGCGAATCGCCTTTTGAGTCGTCGTCTTCTTGCAGCAAAGTAGATTCCGCGGCAAATCACAAACACCAATCGAATAATCCACACAACAAATTGTATCAGGAGAGATAGAGAGAGAGCAAGGAGATATCTTCCATGGCGGATTCGGACGCGGATAAGCCACTGAGAAAAATCTCAACCGCTTTCAAAGAACTAGCGGTCATCGTGAATTCGCCGAGTCCGGAAGTTCCTGTAGCGCAATTCTCTCACGCTTGCTCTCTGGTCTCGCCTCTCTTTGGTTGCCTTGGAATAGCTTTTAAGTTTGCGGAAATGGACTATGTTGCCAAGGTATGTTTATCTTCTTGGAGAGTTGGTAGATTTGCATCAAAGTTCGAATCTTTTTGTACTTGTGTTCCCCTGAGATGTTGGAATCGATTTAGTTTCTCTAGTACTTGGACTGAATTTTGCTAATTTGATGAAAGATTTGGATGTTGTGTTTGTGTATCTTGAGGATGAATGTTTTGGAAAATGGAAGGTTTAACTCGTGAATCTGACTATAGGTTGATGATCTTGTGAGGGCGTCGAGTTCGATATCGACATTAGTGGTAATGATGGACAAAGATATTGAGGCTAATTGTGTAAGGAAACCTGGTAGTCATACGAGAAACCTTTTGAGGGTTAAGCGTGGTCTTGACATGGTCAAGGTTCTCTTTGAACAGATCATAGCTTCCGAGTAAGTGGACTCTCTCTTATGTGAGTTTTTGATCAAATGCATTAGTTAACACATTCAAAATGTATAAACTTGATCACCCGAGCCAGTTGTATGATTTGAATATGGACATTGAAGTAAAAAGAAAAATGGAGTCTTGTTGTAGTTTTCTTTGATTTTTGGTCAAGATTAGAAGATGAAATGTTGTTTGATTTCATTTGCAGGGGAGATAACTCTTTGAAGGATCCAGCAACTAAGTCTTATGCTCAAGTGTTTGCTCCCCACCATGGATGGGCTATACGGAAAGCTGTTTCTCTTGGGATGTACGCTCTTCCCACAAGGGCTCACCTACTTAATATGCTCAAAGAGGATGGTGAGTTCAACTAGTTGATTCTCTCGTAATGCTGTGTCTATTCTGTGTCAGATAAACTAGTAGTTTAAGTAGTCAGATTTTGTTCAAGGTCTTCAAAGGATTAGATTAGATTAGATATCACAGCAATATTTGGCCCGTATACTCCTGGTGGTATCATAAGAGAAAACTCTTTGAGATTCACCTTGGCTTTAGAGTTCATTTGACGGTTATTTTGCTTTTTCCAATACTATCTCTTTTTGAGATTTCGTAAATAGAGTTTCTTCTTCATTATGTTCTGATGGCTGCAATTCGCTGACGATATTGTTTTTTTCATTGAATCGTTGTTACAGAGGCGGCGGCTAAGATACATATGCAAAGCTATGTCAATTCATCGGCACCATTAATCACGTATCTTGATAATCTATTCCTCTCCAAGCAACTCGGTATTGATTGGTGAAGAGCCTGAAAAGACTTATAATTATTATCACTCTTTAGACAAGAATAACCTCTGTGCTCATCAAGTCATGTAGTGTCATAACAACAGCGACGAAATACATTATGAATAAATTGATTTATCTCTTGTTTTAATAACACACTTCCAAGTTCCAAATGTGTTCATGTATTACTACGTAAGCTTGAAGAAATTATTTGAAGTAAAATATCTGTAGTACACGCGGATTGTGTCGGTTATCATCTTCTTGTAGTTGAATTGGTTGTACCGTAAAATTTAAAATTTCCAATTTTTCCTAGTTATTGTTACTTAGTGACAAAATGTTAAATTATCAAATTCGCAGTCTAAAATTCTGTCTTGTTGGACATATAATATAATATACCAATTTGTAGGAAGAAGAAATTTTGGTGAGGTTAAGAAGATGGAGTTTGGATACATGGGAAGCATCGTGATTGTGTCGGTCATCATCATCTTGGCTTTTGTGAGTGCATGTACTAGCTAGTTGATTCCCTCGTAATGCAGTGAACATATTCTGTGACAGATTTTGTGGTTTTTTTACTAGCCAGAGCAATATTTGACATTAACTTCTCCTAGCTACATAAGAGAGACTAAACTCATATAATATAAATATGTTTGAGATTTCTATTATTTTAGTTAAAAGATGGTTTCTTATTCATATGTCTGAAGGCTGCAATTTGCTTATGATATTTTTATTATGAATCGTTGTTACAGAGGCGGCGGCTAAGATTCAGATGCAAACTATGTAAATGCATGGGCACCAGTAATCACGTATCTAGATAATATATCCCTCTAGCTCCAAGCGACTCGGTATTGATTGTTGAAGACTTATAGTTATCGCTAGTTAACAATCTTTTTCAGACAAAATAGCCTCCGTTTGAAACTTGGCATTATATAACCTTTTGAACCGTTAAAATCAGAAATTTATGTTTTCATGGTATTTTCTTTGACGGTTCAAATTTTTTTTAGTTGTACTTCAAAACTACGTGTGATTTAGGCTCAATGACAAACAATATGAATTAGTATTATAGAGTATTTTCAAACAATAACTCCTCTTAGTTTTTTTTTTTTTATCATAAACTAATTTCTCTCGGTTTCTCATAAAAAAATTAATTGTGTTTTTAGATTTCTGTAAAAAATCTTAAAGTACACTTAAACAATTAAACTGAAACGGAAAAAGTAAGAAAATATATTTTATGATATTAAAATTAAGAATCTATTGATATTAAAAAAAAACATGATTTAGAAGAAATTAAACAAAAGGGAGGGAAATACTACATCCTCATTGAATGTTCTAATTAAGACAATAAAAAATACACTACCTTAAAAAGGAGATTAAAATTACATTATGAAGAAGAAATTAACTAAAATAATAGATATAATATGACATTTAAACTGAAAAGGAAAGAGTGGTAAATACAGAATTAAACAATATAGGAATCTTAAATAAAAAGGAGTTCTTGCGACCATAAATATTTGTAAAAAGGAAATGCATATGTAAACAAGATGCCCTAAATATGAAGATTGTGAATAAATAGTTAATATAGTTTGATAGA